AATCGGTGAGATTGTGTTTATGTTCAAGGAGAGAGACCATCGTGACATCGGAAATAATCACACAATTCAAATCCGTCCGTCATTTACAAACTCTTCACTTGTCTCTTATTGAAAGGCGCAGACAGAACAGCGGGTGAAAGGCAGCCATACGATCAATGAGGATTTAAAAAAGGATGTAGTACTGTAGGCCGAATCCACGCGATAACAAGAATCGTCGAAGTTTCTTATGAGTGCAAGAGACTGCTCCGTCGCTCGCGAACGTAATGAGTGCCTCACTTCCATCGATTTGAAGAAGGTCTTTGAATTACCAAAAATAGAATATCTAGAACTCTGGAAAGACAGGGCTTTCCTACTTGGTGCATAAAGATTTCTTGTGAGCTATATAATCTTACAACCTGAATATCACATTCTATAACTATATTAATAGTTCTTCTCAGAAGCTTTGGCACTAATGCAATTAAAACCAAATTTATAATCCAGAAATTATCCAAATTGCTTAACAGCTCTTCAAAATTGCGACATGAGCCTCATCACCACCACCAACACCACCATCAGAGGTCATGAGGTCGATGAGAAGTGAATTTTTTTCAAGAGTCAACGTCACCCGATTCAATGGTTGTCACCAATCCAACTAGGAATCCCAACTCCAAATCCAAATCGATTTTCTCCAGAGGCTATGTTCAACAAATTTCAGGACCGGACCAGACCGAGTCACTGGAACTTGCTGCCAGTCGGAGAGACGGTCAACGCCAAGCGCTACTGTGAACTCCTGGACTGCTGCAATCGGGCCCTGTCACATCAATGTCGTTGCAATCTCATCGTGTTTAGGTCAACGCAAGGCTACATGTCGCCATATTTACAAAGAGGAGATGAACCGAACTGGGCTGAGAGTTGCTGAATCATTCACCGCGCAGTCCTAACTAGTCGTCGCCTGACCAACACCTCTTTCGGTCTTTGGAGCACTTCCTGAACAAGAAGAAGTTCCGAAACATAATCATGCGCGTCGAGAATTGACAGTTTCCTTTGAATCGAACATGACGAGTTCTACGAGTGCGGTATTGATTTAATGTCTGCGAGATAGCCGAAATGTGTTCAGACTGATGTCTCAAACTTGAGCAGTGTTGCTAAGCAATTTCAATTACTTCTGGTTTATGAATTTGGCATTTATTGCTCTACTACAGAGACTTATATGAACATTTAATAAAATTGAAGCAAGAAGAGGGGTTCACCAGGACGATACCCTCTGGTCTGGACAAAATTATTTATTGTCACCCTCCAGAATCTCAAGCAAAAATTAAAATAATACAACTTTGGTGCATATCTCGTTACCCTGCAATTACGCCATCTTCTTTGTTGACGCATTGTTCTTATAATACCGAGCATCAATTAAGCACAACGATCATTAATCAATATGTGGAGTACTCTGCAAAAGCGTTTGCGTAAGCCGGGATTCGAACCCAGATCTCACTCTTTCCGGGAGCGTATGCTAACCGTTGCACTACCGACGCTTTTGCAGAGTCGGTAGTGCAACGGTTAGCATACGCTCCCGTTAAGAGTGTGATCTGGGTTCGAATCTCGCCTGACGCAAACGCTTTTGCAGAGTGCTCCACATATTGGGCATACTAATAACATCATATCACTGCAAGTGGCAGTCAAAATGGAAAGAATTATGACTGCTCACTAATCAGTTTCGACAGCGATTGCGGAGATATTCCCACCGAACCTAACGAAAACGATTTTAAGAGAAGTGGATTGGTTCTAAATGCCTCATTCACACTGAACGGAATGAATAGCTCCGAATGCCCTAACTACTATCTCTGTCAGGAGGTCATTATGTTGAACGACCCAGCTTCAGATTTGAACAGGATGAGGAAGTGGGAGGTTTGAGGAGCGTTTCAGAGTATCGAGATGGCAGTGGAGAGAATGATGTACATTCGATTAAGTGTCCACTTTTCGACTCTGTTATTCCTGACTTAACGTATGCTTCAAAAAGGTGATTGCTTAGTTAGCACGATGAAAGATCACTTGTCATTGTTGAACGCGCAGTCAGAAAGTCGATGCTAACCTTCATTTCGCAAGTGTGAGAAGATATCCGCAGCTCTGATTTACATCAACAAGCTACTGAAGATTAGATGAGCAAGACACGTAGTATGTTCAACCGGTTATTTATCAAGCCGTTACCGATTGGAATCTTCGAGGTGTTAAGCGCAGAAAAAGAAGATTACCGATCCAAAGATCTGATGTCATCATGAAGGGCTTGGAGGACGATAAGACGACGATTGAACCTCCACATCGAGAAAAGCCAGGTGCATTACTGTTGCACGCGATAAAAAACAGTAGATGTCTTGTTGTTGCTAGCCCAAGAACCTCAACGATCATCGAAACATGAGGTGATATAGGTGATAAAATATGCATAACTTCACCAAAAAAGCTTCTATTGATTTCAATACTTATCTGAAAAAGTATTGGCTCCATTATCACAACGAATTTATGCAAAATCTCAAAGGTCGTTTCTGCATGAAGCCGTTGCTAGAAACGTCTTTACTTTTCCATTATCTGTACGCGTTTTCAAAGCAACAGGAAAAACGCAGTCTTTGCTTTTTTAGAGTTCTAATAGTTAGTCGATAACTATAATCTCGAAAACTCAACAATATTTGTTATATTTTTGAAAATTTCTGTTTAGTGCACTATAGCAACGAAAATAATATCATGATTCACACTTGGCACGTTTTCGCGCGTAATTCCGTTGCTTCTTTTGCGATTTGTTCTGCACTTCGTAGAAAAAATCTCGGTCTTTTCTGTTGCCATTGTAAAAGAAACTTTATGCTATCATGTTGGAGGCTTAGGTTTTTTTATTTTCTTTCTATACTGCCCAATAAACCAACTAATAAGCTCAAGCACAAAACATATTCAGTAACTACCCACACAACAAGCCATTTGATTTTTTGGAAATGAGTACAACGTTTAGATTAAAAATTCATGTCAAGCGTAAAAGCATTTGACAGTGGGCAATCCCTGTGTTTGAGTCACACATTCGATTCCATTTGTAGCATCCTAGAGGTGACTTAAAGCATACTTGACATAGGTTAAGCTTTTCCATTGAGCTGAATTACTCTGCAGCTCTGAACTTGATTTCTCAAAATTTTATTAGTCTATTGTAGTGAAGATTCGTACATAATTATAATCGATCCGGAAACAGGAGTGCGGCATTTATGCACCTCGGTGAGGCTGTTGTGGTTTGCTACTTTAGAATGCTTCAACTGGACGCACTCAACATCAGAGCAATCCTGCCCTATCCAAAACTTCCGTTGTTTCATGAAGTATATTTTTTGCTCTTTTGATTAGAACTTTGTTATAGATCTTCCACTAAAACATTTCGTTATCAAATTCTATTGGTAATATGGTGCGATATGTCATGATCAACTTGTTGTCAAGAATATTCAGCCTGTCATTCACAACGGTTCTTTTGTTTAAGAGCTTTTTAGCGGTGGTACGATGTTACAGATATATCCCATGATACTGAGTGGTGTTAAAGCTTTCACGCTAGGCGGAACTCGAACCCACATTTCACCTTTTCCAGGGACGCGTGCTCGAGTCCGACCTGACGTCAAGGTTTTGCACATCACTCAGCAATAATATGAATATTCAGTCTTTTTTGCATATCAAACATAAGTCACAATTTTATCAAAACTATATTTTGAGCTTTCAAATAATCATACGCAACATTTTTAATAAACATGTGAGACAGAGTTAGAGAGATGCAAAGAAGATGAGCGTCTCTTAACAAAAAACGGGACAGAGCATTTAAAACGCTAGAGATCATCTTCAATAAATATCAATCAGCGGAAGACCATCGCTAGAAAAAATGGAACAATCGCTGTCGCTGTGGTGGAAGTGCTCAGCGGACAATTATGATGATTCGAAACGTGAAACATGGCACAGATAGACGATGAAGCCGAAGCAGCCGTTTTAGAGACAGACCTAAAAAGCTCTATTGGGTTTAAAGTAATGATTTAGAACAAATATTTTTGACTCAGTCTTATGAATCACATCGGATAAGTCGGACAAAACTTTTACTACATTAATAACATGGTAGCTGGTTATAGCTATCTCTCACTAATGTATTTTTGTGCTAAGACCAACGGTCGCTGTCAGATGAGGAGTGATTCCTGGCACTGGTTTACTCCTAGCGGGGTTTTTGAATGAGATAACCACAGTCCTTTTCAGCTTGGAGATACTGGTGAAGGATGAATGTTGTATATGCAACATAGCTCGACGTGTAGGAACAATTTCAACAATTGTGAGCCGACAAAGAGCTACGTCAAAGCAAGAGCCATTGGTGAAAGGGATATTATCAAAGAACTGAGTACTTTTCCATTATCTCCACCCTGCTTCAGTCCACTTTTCATTGCTCCATGACACCAAAGATAAAAAATTTCATTTCACGGTCGCAATTTTTGCTGGAAAAAGCTTTTTGTTTGAACTCTCAACATCCATTCGATAGCGAAAATCTCGAGAAAAATCATATACGTATTTGGTTCTTGAGAAGGACTCCTAAATGCGCTGTGACAGTTAGAAGACATTGGGTTTCGTAAATTTGGCCTACTTTTGTCATTCGCATCCTACTTGAATTCTTTGAGAGGAACGCATTTTCTGACTTTTTCTGGAGAATCGTTAATGCTTAGATAGCTTGAGCCTCGAAGATTACAAAAAGTTCCGTTTTTTCCGTAACAGCGCAATTATAAAGCAAGCTAAAGAATACAGTACACCTTCAAACTTCTCAAGAATTATACTATCGATTTACTGCTGAAACCTTGGAAAAAAAATACGCGGATTTTCTAATGGGCTGGGACAGGGTGCATTCATCAAAAAGTACCGAGAATGGTATGAACAGCAAGGCTGAAAAAAGAACCACGCGCAGCAGCTTTCCAATCTATGAAAATTCACTGTTCCTAATGTAAGAGTAATTCAGTTGGTTCCAGGATACGATCGAAAGCACCGACCGCTAAAAGAGTGGAAACTGAAGACAAACTTAATTTGAAAGAAACAGGGTTAGTTCTGGATATCCGTTTAGGCACCTTTCTCTTGATATCATTAAATTCAATGACGTAGGTTCTTCTTTGGTTTTCTAATTTTAGAAACTTCCAGGTCAGAAGAATTCTCTTCCAAATACATGTGGTACGCGTAACATAAACTCACGTTTTTTTCTTTTAGAGTACTGTTTAGTGACGAGTTTGTCGCTGCTTTCAAGACATGGTATAAATAAGGCAGATCATAACATACACTAATCCAGGACAATGCTCGCAATCGCAACATGTAGCGCTGCTTGAACATTTCTATTCTAAAGAAGGTCATTCGAATTTGACATTAAAGATATGTGCAGAAATATTCCAGATTTCCATTTCACACCAGCGAAAGACACCAAGACACAATAAATATGCGGAGAGTTAACGATGACCCAAAATGTCATCATGGCTTATTGCTTTGAAACTGCAACATAAAAAATCTCTGTCACAGCTTTCTTCTTTGCAACATACTTTACAAGGACGGGTGTGTGTATGGAATGTTAAACTGAGCTGACCAAAAATGAAACTCGAATAAATTTCATTTCAAAAAAGACCAACCGAAATTTTTCTCTCTGCGATCACATAAGTCGTCACAAAACATAGGAATAACGTTTATGGAAGCCGGTTGGGAGAACAAGTAAAGGGCGAATGGTGAGCAGGTAGCCGGCGTTAGTGGCACAAACGGAATGTAGCTAGCCTTCTAGAAAAGTTTAAAATATCATCTTTTCTTGAGCAAGCAGTGGATTTTCTTGAATGCGCCCATAGTTCTACATATCAGGCAGCAATAGAACCCACTATTATTCTTGTTCAATATCAATTGCGCATCGACCTTTTCGACTCAACGATTCTTTCGCCCTGAACATATGCACAAACATAGTCCTTACGTAAGATGGATGAACGACCACTTAAACTCATCAAACTCTCAGTCGAAAGGTTGATGCTTGGGCTATCCCGGTTCTCGCCAATGAACGAAACGGTCAGAAGTTGCGGCCCACGTCAACAATTGTGAATCAAGGACGCTATTTTACACGCGCCCTTATAGATGAAAACGTGGCACAGACACGTGATACGTTTGAATGACAGCCATTGTTGAAGAGTCATTACCAACTGAATTCCACGAGATGTCCAATGCACAGCAGGAAGACCACTAACGCGATGGGACATGATGCTCAACAATTTCCTAGAGCGAGGAGGACCCACTAGACTATTCTTTCTCATGACAAGAAAAATGAAAGCTTTACTGGTATTCGAACAAATAGCTCGACAGTCAATAGGATGAAAGACGATATAGGTTATTAAGCTCAGAAAACTCGTTTGAAATATAAAGTTAGAAACTTTAGAAATCCAGAGAAGGAGAAAATACAAAGTACGTGTTTAAGCCATTGGAAATGTTGTGAGCAAATTCTGACTGTAATAAGTTCAAATGAAAAACATTAAAGACTTACTAGAAATCGATTTTTATCAAGCTTTTCGATTACCATGAAAAGTCAATGGTTAAGCGTCTTATTTCGGTAATGAATT